TACTCATTTCGTGCAGTAACTAATTTTGTCTAATATATTGTTAGATCACATACGAGTATATTCAATCATATTTAACGTTACGAGTATATTCAATCATATTAATCATTAACGTAAGATGCAGTGTAGGCTAAATCCACATCATCCATGGGGCTAACGACTATAACAATTAGGCGTTCTGACTGAACAGCAACAGACTACAATTGCGTTTTATAATTTATACCACGCTGTTCACATCTCGTTGAGAATACAATGAGTTACGTTGTGCAATTAGATTCCGCGAAATGTTATGTAAAAATGTTTCGGTCAGTTTGTTCTTGAATAGTTTTATGTTCAATGATTTACGAGAATATCCAAAAGAATCGAAAGACACGAGAGAACATTCTCACTACAGCGCTAATACCGAAAATTTCTCTTTAATGATCAGTGTCCTGATTACTAATGTTCGTTAGGAACAAAAAGAGCGCACTTGATAACAAAGTGCTTCCTTCATTTCTCTAAAACCGGCAAATCTACTTTTTAATAATACAGTTGTGGAGACGGCGTTCCTGTAAAACGGCACTAGCGTTCTCTAAAGGGAACATGTGTCGACTCTACTCATCGTTCCATGTTATGCACACTCAGAAACAACCACTCTTTTCTTAACGGATACTGCGGAGCGGACTATGCGCAGGAGAAGCGTAGTTATGATCTGCAATGAAGACGAAAGATGTTAGTTTCACGAGTAATGTGATATTAATCAAGGGGAGTCACATATTCCGTACCTCTATATACAGAGCTGTGGCAAAAAATATTCGATTTCACTGGTATTTATGGTTGCAATGTTAGTGTAAGTAATTACTAGACCAGTGGAAGTAAGGTCTGCGGCGTGGTACATTCTCATGCAATAACTGTTTACATCGGTGTCCCATATCTTATGACTATCACTCTGAGTCTCGGAATTTTCCTTATATAACCTCATGATCTCCCTTATCCTACAGTCGGTTTTCAAAACTTTTGAAGTATTGACTCTTTGCCGCAAAATTTGTAATGTTCTGGGTGCCTTGGACCATTCTCTATCGATATCTTTTTGTATCCATTGATACATTTAAGGAATGCGAAGATTGCCTCAAACGATGCTCCTCGATACTAAGTATAGTTTTCTTTCTTGCCGGTAGCACGTTATGTACCATGTTTTACCTATTGTGGTAATGAACCGATAGAAAATGATAACTGACTTCCGGTCTTCAGAAGAGCGTATTGAGATCCCATCATGACGTTGCATTTGCAAGAGAAGCCTTCTCTTGCTAGCCTCGTAAATATTTACACCGCGGAGTCGAGAACACGCTGAGAGGTTTTCTATTGTCTCCGCGCGTGGAAACCTCTGTGTGCGCTGAGTGGAGCATGCCGGCCGTTTGCATGTGGGCTAGCGCTGTTGCGCATCTGAAAAGACGCGCTTCGCTTTGTCCCCCCCAAGGTTACCTCTAGCAGCCACACAAAATTCTGACGCTGTACCTTCAATATTTCATATTAGCTGCGATTTTATCTCATTTAATTTACATTAGTGTGATGTCACGAGGAGACAATTTGCATTCTTTTCTTTCAAATGTATGGAATATGAACGTTATCTAAGATCACAGGTAATGAATATTAAGGTGTCAATGAGCGTGCATGGGATGAAATCTAACAAACACTCATGTTCTTGTAATGTGTTTCTTGTAATTTTTCAGAACTATAATTTAAATTTCCCCCCCTCCCATAGAGGTAATAGGCAAAGTAAGGTGTTAAGAGTACGTTGCACGATGATAAAAATATTTTTAAGAATAATCGTTATTTACCCAACATGGGTGTTATAAAGGTTCTAATGTGCGAATGACGACTAAAAACCTGAGCCCGAAAGCTTTTTGTTGCCCGAGATCATAACAGTCAGTTAACGCCCGTGGTACTCACATTATTTTGTTTTTTACCTAATGTTAATGATTCAGATTTACTTATTTACTAATGAACTAGATGATAACTTGAATCGGTCTTTCTTTTCCTAGTTCCCCCCCAAAGTTCTTTTATAATTCTGTGGTCACTAGGTAAAAGTTTTTAAGTAACAACGTTTAGTTTGGAGAAAACAAGAGTAAGATTATTGAGCCATAAGCTACATTAAGCGTGATTAGGCTTTATTTACCAACGTTTTTTTGTCGTAAAGAAGGCAGCATGAATTCGGTCGTTTTACTCAAATAAAATATAGAGACATAACTTGTAGTTTTTAAGTACTAAACCCAAAATTGCCACAAATTGATTAAGAACTTTTAAAGATTAATTTTAACAATTGCCTTGTCTGTGGATTTTGACTACATGTGCCAGAAATAACAAATGGAAGGAAACCAAGAATAGGAATACAATATCAAAGGTTAAACAGAATTTCAGAACATTGGCCAAACTAAGCTGTACACACAATCAACGGATAATCATAAACTATATTATTATTGTAGTCTTTATTTCTGGCGAGGCGAGGCATAAAGTCTCTTCATCCGCCTAACCTCTTAAAAACAATACATTTACCTAATTACAATTTTACATCTACTAGTCCAATCCTTACTTAGTTACATCGTGTGTAGGAACTATTGCAACAGAACATTTTACTAAATAGAATGACCGTTTTTCACGTGCATAAACCAGGTCCGCGATTACCCTCTATTTATACTGGACCTCTTTCTGCTAAAAGCAATCTTCGGGAGCTGGTAGTACTGCAAAACAAATTCTTATGAAACGTTTCAAAAGCTTCATGGTATAATAAATAATTTTCAAACTTTCTTCCCATTTATATTCTTCTCTTTCACCTCGCCCATCATTTCGTTCGTTCATTGTAAGTGAATCAGTCAATCTTTTTCCCCCGAATCAAATCAAGATATTTTAAAGACCGACGACATCCTCCTTAATTAGCAATAAAAGAGGTTCAAACATCCCTAAATTCAAAATGAAATTCGAACTTCAAATATTTTATGAACGTTTCTGAAGGACCCTTCCTGGGTATTGTTAGTAGTTAGTTTCTAATATCGTTTTTTCCAAACACTGTATTTGTACAATGAAATGTAGTTCAAAAACCGATTATAAATACTCTGTAACCGAAAAACTCTTGACAGTCACAATTTTGTCGAACAATGGCAATAAAGCTGGGCTTCTGTCTGGATTTTGAACTCGCTGTCGGCGCCGCTCGGAGCGGAGAGCCGCAAAGGCGGAGCGACATCGCGAACAAGGCGACGCCCCACGCGAGCATTCCGTCACACTCGGCGCGCGCCGTGCGCTCCCAGCCGCTCCGCCGGCGATTAAACTTTCTTCCGCCAAAGCGGGGAATTCGGAGGCGCACGTCACCGCCGCCGCCGCCGCCAGCGCTCTCGCCTCGTCGACGCGCGCGTCGGAGCTCGGAGCTAGCGTAGCTGCTGTCTCTGCAGTGAATACGACCGGGAGGAACGAGGGTTCGAGTCCCGACGGCGGCGGCGGCGACTGCACTACCACACACCTGTTCGGAAAGTTAGAATCTTGGAAAATACATGAAAAGGGAAAGAACCTGGGGAAATAGAACCTGTAGTTCGAGGACGGATCTCACCATTCAGCGTGGAAGTAATCACCGCCACCGCCCGGGTAAAACAATCTCTACCCTAACAGGACTAATGTCCATAGCACTTGACGTGTCAAGAAACATTAATCGCCATTAACATTAATCACCAATCGATCAATTGCTATGCGCGGCGGCGTCCGCAGCCCCTACTGACTCGGCTGGAAAGGAGCGGGGCGGGGCGGGGCGGGGCGGGGCGGGGCGGGGCGGGGAGGGGCAGACCAGAATGCAGATCCGAGGACGGTTGGGGCGCTGCCAGCTTTGGAAGGCCTGCCGCGCGCGGTAGAGAGGTCGAGCAACGCTGAGGAGTTTGCTGAAGGAGCGCTTCTTTCCTTTCTTGGATTCGAATTTCTTTGCGGCAGGATTTTGAGTGTTAATGTTACTCACTTTGTTGCTCCTTCAGATATGGGAAACTTTCTACCGGTTTTTTTTTGGGCGCGGTCTTGCAGCTTTCTACGTTAGGAATTTTCTTCTTTTTTCCTCTTTGTGACGCTTGTGTATTCATTGGGTCGCAAATATTTGGCGATTCAATGGATCATGTTTTTTATAAAAGGATTCAACACGAATTATTCAATGCTGTTTAATAATGAATTATGACATTCGATAACACTTTCATTACTTCTTGAAAAGTACATCTGGTCAAATATTGAAAATCAGTGTGTAAAGTGCATGAACGATATCATCAATTCAGTGTTCTAATCCGTCGAAATTATAATTTGCCACTTTGCAGCAGCCAGTGATTTTCTACCTTCTTAGCAAAATTTAGTGTCCTGAAAGCACTTGATTCTGTAGAATGGTATTGATACTGAAACTGAGAAAAGATTAAAGTAATTTAAAACACCAGGAAAGCTGTTTATAATTTAGACGAAGGATTGGAAGTTAATAACAGCAACATTTTCTAATAGCAGAAACCTGTTTTTGGCGGCTATGCCGTCAGTAATCGTGCAAACTGGCGACAGGCTAGATTGATTGTGCACCTGACTCTCAAAGTCTGTTGCTTGGCAAATGTTGAGAACAAGGCCACCAGAATTTCATTATAGCTAATACAAAATATACATTTAAAAAAAGTTATGACGTCCATTTTTTTCACTCTATTGGTTACTTTCAATAAAGATTGTTGTCAATGATTAAGCTGATTATGTTATTTGAACTTGTAGTCAACAACGTACAATGAAGATTCCACAGCACTAATTAAAATTGCTGTCAAAGAGTAAACTGTCTTTTAAGTAAATGCGTATTAATTTGAAAGCATGTGGTGATGGATAATTCTTACTAGTTATTTGCGCGGTTATTTTCCATGTATACCCAGAAGCTCGTTTTTCGCTCTCGAGTCGCAGTGGTGGAGACTTGGTTTAGACAGCCTCGACAGCCTCTCGAGCGACATGAAAAATTATCGCTGTTAACACGTGCACCTCGAATGGTACGGAGGCTCTTGAAGGCCGTGAGTGACGCCTCAGGCGCAGGGAATCCCTGAGTGCAGCTTGTTTGCTCCGCTTCTCGGGGGCGTGAGCACTCCATTAAACCTTTTCATTTGCTCTCGCCGGCTTCCAACGTAGCTATTCGGCTAATTACCTCGCAAAATAAATGAGGAAATGCGAAATTACGTACATGAAATGGTCTGACAGGTGAACATTGAACATGGTATACACGTTTCGTGCAATTCGAGAGAACATTCTGGAAAGTACGTACCAATTCATTCAAATTATCAAACCACCAAAACTATTTACTGGTTTTTAGGCAAATTCTATTAATATTATTTCACAATTTCATATTTTAAATAAAACATGTGAGTTGAAAAATATTTATTTGAGGGAGCGAATGAAGTAAAATCTCGAGGTTTAGAGTTATTGATGTTGGAGATAAGTTTTTGAAACTTTATTTTCATTTACAGAATTTTTTTTATTTTAAAACTGAATGTTTAGCAATCGCGAAAATCGTCGTTTGTTTCTATAGCCGGAAAGTATGTTGTTGACAAGTGTTTCCTTCGTACGCTTTGCTGCATCTTGTCGACGGATGTTGCAGAAAGAAGCATCCTTATTTGCATACATTTTTTCTCTTTCCGTTGTTTGCATTCCTCGTCCTTGTCTCCTTTACCATGTGGCTGAAACGTTGTGCAACTAGAAAAATAAATACATTTTCGGCATACTTTCAACATAAATATTTGACATTTTTCCAATCCGTTTACAAAGTGGACATTTTTCGAATCGGAATTATCCTTTAGAGGAACGTGAACGTGTGGGGGACAATAATTTCACGCAATTTCGTCTGCATTAGTAGGAAAATTTGTCGAAGTGAATAATGCATGCGGGAAAGGTTGGATGTAAAAGAAACACGAAAAGCGAAACAAATAAGTTCGTTATTGTAGAACACTGACAGGGAGTTGGTTACCGAAATATTTCACATAGTAACTCATTTTGGTATAGTGTAATAGAGCCCAATAATATGATTGTTGATGTGTCTATATAAATTAACAGTATGTATGATTGTGTATTTTTTTCGGTAGTTTGAAGTTCACTAATGTAAAGAAAACCGAGCGAATTGGCTGAGGGAGTAGGGCACTGACTTCGTATTCGGGAGGCCCGGGTTCAATTCATCCTGACCGGTGTTTTCGTGATTTCCCGCGGTCATCCAGGCGTGTGCTGGGATGATTCTACTGAAAGAACACGTCCGCCAAACCGACGTCTGTAGCCGCATTCGTCAACTATGACGTGGAGTCAGGAAGGCTAGGCAAATTCGAGACATCGTGGTTGGGTGACCGACTAGGTACCCCGGGATCGAACGGCGCCGAGGCCGTTGCCCTTCCCGGGACATACAATGGCTAAAGACAAAATGTAAAGACAAGTCTTATTTATTCAAGTCAAGTAATATTTGAGGCAGATATTTTCCAGGTCACCCTCTCCTATCGAAGAACATTTTCTTGTGTGGGCTCGTGAGATGGTGTGTTGTAAAGCCTTCCAATCCAGAGGATTCTGAGGTCTCAAGTGGTGCTCTGTTGCCCCCAGGTGCCCGTCCCAGACACTGAGGTCCGCCCGCCGCCCATGCCCGAGAGCCTGTACGCCGTGGCGGCCGCCCAATCCGAAGCCGGCTCGGACGAGTCGCACGAGTCGGAAGAGTCGAAGGACGCGACGTCGCCGAAGACGTCCAGCGAGGAGGACGACGCCGAGACGACGCCGGCGCCCCCGGCCTCCACCCTGTCGCCGCCCCGCACGCGCCGCAGCCCCGGCGGCGGCAGCTCGGCCTCCAGCAACAGCAAGAGCTCGGCGTCCAGCTCGAGCGGCGGCGCGGGCGCCAGCTCCTTCTCCAGCGCCTCCAGCCACTCCAGCGCCAGCTCGGGCTTCGGCGAGCCCATCTTCTTCGGCGGCCCCACCAACGGCGACAGCTACGCCTCCAGCTCCAGCCAGAGCGACGCGCAGGCGGGCGGCGCGGGCGACGCGGCCGGCTACGGCCCGGGCTTCGGGGCCGGCGCGCCCAGCTTCGGCGCGCCGGGCGCCGGCGGCTACGGCAACTACGGCGCGGGCTACAACCCTCAGGGCGGCGCGGGGGCCGGCTACGGCGGCCAGGGCAGCCAGGGCGGCCAGGGCGGCCAGGGCGGACACGCAGGGCCCGCGTGAGTACTCGCTCTCTCTTCTTTTACTTTTTGGCTTTTTCGCTCTCCCAATTCTCACCTCTTCTTCCCACCGGCTATGATGGTTGTGCAGAAACGCCGTAGATTGAAAAGTCCTAGGGGACGGATCCTTTTTTATTTATTTATTTATTATTCAACGAATATTTACAATCTATTTCAAATGTGGAATAACAAGTAAATAGTATAAATGTGAATAACAATAAAAAATGTTATGAAGAAAGTCACCCATTAATACTTTTCTTAGAATCCTTTTCAAATCTATAATACAAATATATTTAAAACATTATTACATTGGTAAGGGTTAGAAGGATTAAGAGTACGTGTTAGAGCAAAATAAGATAACATGTTTAGATAAATGTCAATTATTAAAACGGCGGGGGAGATAAAGAGTAGAAATTCTATTGAGTCGAGAAATTTCTTGGCTATTGTCTAGTTTTGACGTGGATTTTCGACACTTGCTACATAAGTAGATTGTATTCTTTAGCTGTCGGATGAAGAATCCTAGAGGTCGGCACTAACCAGCGGGAGAAAACACAACCACCCCCGGGATACAACAGGCACTACTCTTATGGGCCAAATAATCCTAATATTCGACGCGACTGCACCCAATATTCATTCCCTCTTGACATCCTCCCTACTCCTTGTCATTTCTTTCTGTACTTCCTCCTCCTTCTTTCTGTCTTTCTTCTTCTTTGTTATATTCATACGTGCCATTGGAGGTACGTCTCTGGCTTGTATTTATTTAGAAGACTCTGATAAAACAATGTCGACACTTGCTGCGATATGAATTGACATTATGTGCATGACATGTGATTCGCAATGTTTGCACGGCTAGGAGGCCGAAGTGCACGTAGGAGAAACGTGAAACTGGAATTAATATTCTGAAGTGCGAGCCTCCAGTCAGAGAGAATATGTGGGTTACAAAGTGCTCGACTTATGAGCATCAAGTGGCGTTAAGCTGAAGTCAATGCGATGCGATGCGATGGTGCTTTGGCGAGGGAATTCGCTAACAAAGAAACGAAGCACATGGGCCATTGATACGCTGGGGTTTAACAAACCAGGATTAGAAATCGGATTAAATAAATTCTATGCTGCTTACCCTTAACACCCGTAATAACATGCGGAACATGAATTATCGATAACTGTGCAAATAAAATATAAATTCGGTAAAAATTCTGTATGTGACACGTGTCTCCCAAAATAGTGTTAATCACAAATGATTCACAACAATAAAAATCGGCGGGGATTTAAAAGTATTAACAATTGAAAAAATCCCCTCGTTGCGTAGGAAGGAGTACTATGGAGCTAGAAATAATTTAATTTTTTTCAGACAGAAGCAGTATTTAAAACATTTGATAACATTTATATACGAAGTCTGTTATTCCATCTCACTCGAGGAGGGCCTTTTCAAGGGTTGACTCTAAAACGAGGTCAAAGCAATGAAAGCTTTTAGAAAGTTCTAGTTTTGACTCGGGACATCATTGATGTAAAATAATAAACCTGTAAATAAGATACGCGGCAATGTTGTAGCTTGAATTACAGTTTTAACCTCAAATTAAAGGACAGAATCAGATCACATCTTTTATTTTACAAAAAATACCCGGAAGCTGTATTCTAAAATGAGTTTATTTCCCGTTTGTCAAATAGTTTGATATTTATTTTCAATGCAATTTATTTATACATGCTTTTACGTACATGCATTTTCAAGAATAAACATATATTCTCATTTCTTAAATTTATTACTTATTCATTTTGATGTAATTTGTATTTACCTTAATACTACTGTCACCTCTAATAGTTATTGCCTTGTAATTTCAAAGTATCCTAAGAAGTTTTCCTCGAGAAATGAATGCAATGGTCTGTTTTGATTATGTTTATAAAGAATACAAAATTCTGGTCCTTGAAACCCAGCCGTTTACGTTAGGTGTGAAATGAATTATAACAGATTCCTTTCTAAGTGCAATTCATGCAATTTCTGCCATGTTGAGCGTGAAATATCAAAGTTCAAAGTTCCTATCTGTTTAATACTTGCAATATCAGAAAAGTTGTGAAACAGATGGAGAATAGTGGTTGTTTATTATTATTCTTATTATTTATCTGTTATTTATTATTTGATTACAGTTATTACTTCAAAGTTAATTGTTTTGGATTTTATATCTGTTATTCTCTCGTAAGTATTTTACCTGTAGGTCATCACTATAGCGACTATTGTGTAAATTTCTTCATTTTTTGAATACAACAAAGATCAATATGATTGACTTTGATGGGCAACTTTTGACTAGATATCTTCAGAATAACATTCCAAATTCCAAACAGGGAATTTTGAAAGTAGGATAAAACGAAGGATTCTAAATGAAAGTATGATGCAAGAATAACATATTAGAATTTAGTCTAATTATCTTACAATAGAATATTAACAAGAAACTATCATATGAGATCTCAGAAGAACTTTGAACTAGTTTCTTTTATTCCACACTTATGGAATAATAAAAATCTATTTTTGGTCAGTAATTATAAATGACTTGATTACATGAAATAAAACTACAAAAAAGGAGCAATATAGTTTCAAGCTTTTTTCCAAAAACATCTTCTAAAAGTGAAAAAAATCCAATTATTCAGATTGGGAGTGCAAGGACCTCCGTCATGATTCTCCAATAAAGCCAACACGCCCTGGCGAACAGCCCGAGTCAAACAGCAGGTCGTGCTCTCGTAGCCCCTCGGGGCCGATTGGCGTGACCGTCCACTTTGTGGGTCGTGACGAGAGAGGTCGCGGCGTGTTTGGGCACGTGACCTTCCAGGGACGCCTTACGGCCGCTAATAATTTTAGTGGCTCAACGTAACAAATTCTTTGTCACGCATTCGTCGTGCGTAAATTATATTATTAAACGTGAATTATTGGATTTGTATATAATTTTTTAACATTCTCTAGTGAGCTGCCAGCTGGTCTTTTGACGTGCAGAATGTCTCAGAATAAATGTTACTCTTTTAGGCACGTAAAGGAGTAAAAAAATGATAACTATTTTTGCCAATGAACATATAGTGGCAATTGTATGTAACAAGTATTACATCCGCATTTTTATATGTTTCGTTTGCCTTTTTGGAAATTCCGGGTGAACTTTTTTCGCCTACACTACATACCCTAGAAGTTTGTAAATTTTTTTCTTACACTGCTGAATATAGTACAATGCACATACGTGTGTGTGCAATGAAATGGTCCAATGCACATGTGTCAATGCGCATGAGTGTAAGTGTACATGTGTGTGTGTGTGTGAATGGTAGGTATGGGACAAGGATGAAAAATGAAAGATTGCTCGGACTGTGGCACGTTTGTATTGGCACTGCTCCAGCATTTGCCTAGTATTGATCACAGAAAACTTCAACCGATCAGAGCAGATGTCTAGAATTCATCGGAAGTCATCTAAAATTCTCCAGACAGAGTGAGCGTCTTCGATTGATTGATAAATAAGAGATTGCAGGCACGTCAACTGCTAAGGTAATTACTCCCGTAAGTGTAGTGCAAATTTAATCGAGGGAGGCCGCTGTGATTTTCTCTCGCTAGCCCGAAAGGTCCACGCCGACCAACGTCGACTTGCCGGAGTTTTCCCCACTAGGTATTTTCCACCAACGGGGCACCACCCCAGCCGGGACAAACTAAGTTCCCAACTGATCTCCCGGCATGTGTGGTAAGTGTAGTGCATGTGTGTGTAAGTAAGGAGTGAGGATAGGACAAGGAAAAGGAAGGAAAGATCGCCCGCTGTCTGTGGCCCGTTTGTTAGGGTACTGCACCGGCATTTACCTGGTGTTGATCGAAGAAACCACGAAAAACTACCGATCAGAGCAGCTGGCCGCTAGAATTTTCCTCCAGAAGGCGACTGGATTCGACCTAGCTGAGAAGTTAGTGTCGAAATTCCTGCCAGAGTCGAAACTCGAAGGGATGAGAGGCCCTGCAGTGGCATCAGATGATGCCCTGAGCCATCTTCACCGGTGTGAGAGATAGGTTAACAATGGGAGACAAACGCCGACGGAGGGTGTATGTCGAGTATCTCGGCGTGTGCGGCCCCTCCAAAGCGGCGGTTGGCCTTGGGCGATCGCCCGGGGCGGAGCGGAAGAGTGGCGTCGCGTGCGGTGCGTGGCGGTGCGTGCGGCGTGCGTGCGGCGTGCGTGAGCCACGCAGTGGGCGGGGTCAAGGCGCGGCCCCTTTCGGCGGACGTCCCGACTTGTTAACGTCCGCTGTTGCCGGAATTGCGCTGGCTTCACTAGCCCGAAAATAACAAAAACACGAGAGTCGTGGAGGTGGATTTAAAGGTGAAGGTGCGTCCCCCAATTCCCTCGACAGATACCGTTGAGCGGGTTTCGTGATTGCGTGAGTTTGGGCAAAGTAATTTGGGTTAGGAACACGGCATTTGAAGGTCGTTCGAAGGTATTATTGCTTCATTAAAATACCTACTGGAATATTTGGGAATTAATGTCAACGAATCAAGCGTAATAAGTTATCGTGAGAAAACGGAAAACATTAATAGCATGACAAATTAAAATTCTGAGAAATATACACATTTGTGCGATAGATAAGACGCATCAGTTGATGATAGAATTCCCCAAGTTTCAGCAGTTACAAAGATTTTCCGGAACTGAGACTTTTTGTCCCATGTCAATGACACTCAAGACATAATTGTGTAATTAATGTGGCCATAATTTTCTTTAAATTTGTCTTTTACCAGTGATTTACATATTTTCTGTCATTGATGATCTTCTGAAATCGAATAATGTCAAATAGGCTACATTTTATTCTTACGTGATAGGTAATACCAATTTGGAAGGAATTTGTTACTGAATTGGCAGCGTAACGTAATTTATCGTCAGAGAAATAGGAAAGTGAATGTGCAACCATAAAATGCCTCCAATTAAAAAAAAAATATTTGCGAACAATTATTAAATATTACAAAAATTTGAACAAAATCTTAATGGCAAAAATTACTACAGAATACT